TTTCAAATTGTGGGGACCAAGACCCGAGACCTGCCACAGGCCCAGGCCCTCCCAAAGTTTTTCAGGAGGACCTTATGGGTCGGGGGGGCCCGCCCTTTTCACGAGGTTTGCGGGGGAGCCCCGAAGGAGGCCCCCGAGAGGCCCCCGAGATCCCCCCGGGAGGCCCCCGAGATGCCCCCGAGATGCCCCCGAGATGCCCCCGGGAGGCCCCCGAGATGCCCCCGAGACGGCATGTTGGTCTTCTGCCCCGCCAGGGGGGAGCCCCCCCCCCCCCCCCCCCGCCCCTTCGCCCCTTCGCCCCACCTCCCCGCCTCACCATGCGCTCCTCGCCCCAGTGTACGGGCTCAACGTCGAGTTCACGGCGGTGCAGAAGGAGATCAAGGACGGGATGTACTCGCCCAACGCGTACGTGCTGGCCAACCTGGCGATCCAGCTGCCGATGATCTTCGTGCTCGCCGTCGCGGCGCTGCTCCCGCCGTGGGCGATCGACGCGCTCCCGTGGGTGACCTTCCCGTCGGCAGTGCTCGTCTTCGGCGTCATCCTGTTTGCGCTCGAGTGCGTCGCGCAGGCCATGTCGCTGGTGGGCAACCCGCTGCTGGGGATGATGCTCTTCATCACGCACTGGTTCGTCACCTTCCTCTTCTCGGGGCTCTTCGTCAAGATCTCCTCCGTCATCTGGCCGCTCCGCATCCTCTGCTACATCACGCCGATGCGGTGGGGCATGCCGTCGATGATCTACCAGGCCTTCTCGCCGTACGACGGCGAGCGCGGCGACGTGTTCGAGGGCGCGGGGAAGTGCACTCCCTCTCCTTTCTTCGGCCCTCTCTTCTGCTACGGCGGCTTCTTCTGCGAGGGCATCTCGCCGCTCGAGTGCTACGGCCGGACGGGGAAAGACATCCTGGGCACGGTGGGCATCAACTTCGACGTCATCTCGGATGAGTTCACCATGTGGACCGACATCGCCTACATGGTGGCGATCGCCGTCTGCTGGAAGCTCCTCTTCGTCGTGCAGCTCAACCGCCTCTGCTCGGGCGGCACCGCCCCCTCCGCGCCCGCGGCCAAGAAGAAGCCGCCGCGCAAGGGCGACAAGGCGGCGGTCGACGGGCCGGTGCGGGAGGTGGAGCCGGCGGCCGCCGCGCAGGGCACGGGGCTCTCCTCGCAGGCGACGGACGCGAGCGAGCTCGGCTTCGACCCGCTCGCCACCGCCGACGTGGAGGTCGGCGACATCGACCAGATGCGCCAGATGCGCATGACGAGCGTCGCCGCGGTGCCGCTGCAGAGCCAGCCGACCGTCAGCCTGCAGGACTTTGCGAACCGCGGCTCGAGGGAGGCGGCGCGCAAGCTGCGCTCGGGCGGCGAGCAGACCGAGCTCGCCTTCATCGAATGCTCGTACACGCTGACCATCGCGCCCAAGAGCCGCTGGGCCAAATTTGTGCCGCTGCCGGCGGCGGAACGGTGCTGCGGCGCCAAGGCGACGGAGAAGAGGCTCGTCTCCAACGTGTCCGCGTCGGTGTCGGCGGGACACGTCCTCGCCGTGATGGGGCCGTCGGGCGCGGGCAAGACCACCATGCTCAACATGCTCACCCTCGACCCTGGCTCGGGCAACGCGACCGGCTTCCTCACGCTCAACGGCCACCCGCTCACTCCGGCGCTCTACGCGCAGCACTGCGCGTACGTGACGCAGCAGGACCTCCTCTGGACCTTCCTCACGTGCCGCGAGCACCTGCGCATGGCTCTCGACCTGTACCGCCCCTCGCTCTCCGCCAAGGAGCGCGAGACCGCGATCGACGACCTGCTCGACTCGACCGGTCTGATGAGCTGCCAGCACACCAAGGCGGGCAACATGTTCTTCCGCGGGCTGTCGGGCGGGCAGAAGCGGCGCCTGTCGCTCGCGATCGCGCTGGCGAAGCGGCCATCCGTCATCTTCCTCGACGAGCCCACCTCGGGCCTCGACTCGGCCGCCTCCGCCAAGATCATGAAATTTATGAAGGAGATCGCGATGCAGGCAAACATCGCCATCGTGTGCACGATCCACCAGCCGTCCGCGTCGGTCTTCGAGGGCTTCGACGACACGCTGATCCTGTCGAGCGGCCGCATCGCCTACTTTGGCCCCGCGGCGCAGCTGGCGCAGCACCTGAAGGGCGTGGGCCGGGAGCTTCCCGCCAACGCCAACCCGGCCGAGTACGCGCTCGACGTCGTCAACGCGGACTTCACGTCCAAGGCGTCGGTGCTCGAGGTGCTCGACGCGTGGCCGAAGCACGCGCCCCCGGTCTTCCTGCGCGAGCCGCAGCAGCTCGGCGAGCGCGGCGCCGTGTCCGGCTTCGTGGGGCAGGTGCTGCTGCTGTTCAAGCGGCACGCGGTCCTGACAGTGCGAGAGCCGATGCTGTACACGGCGAGGATGGTGGTCATCTTTGCGGTGACCGTCTTCTTCTGCGTCGTCTACCTCGAGTCGCGCCAGCTCACGCAGGTGCAGATCATGCAAAAGGCCTTCTACGTCTTTTGGTTCGTCTGCGTGCCGGTGGCCTTCCCCGTCATCGCCGTCTACGCGCTCAACGCCGAGTTTGTGACGGTGAAGAA